CTCCAGTACTGCACTCGAGCTCTTTTCTTATCAATCACACCTTAACAAACTCCTTTGTTCTCTCGTGAAATTGATCTCCAGAAAAGTGCCCGATCCTTACAATTCCCTTCTCTCTTATACTCAATCCGCCAGTAGCCGTTGCACCAGAGTTTCCATTTCTTGTTGATCTTGATATGGTATTCCTTTTGAAAAGCTTCCTAGTTTTGCTTGCCGAATATCATCTCCACTTTTATCTCGCATAATCAGCTCCTGTTCTTTTGACAAGCTGCCCTCAACATTCTCCCCCTCAGCTTGTCAATGATTCCAATCCTGTTGCTCTAGACGTTCCTGCACACACTAGCACACACATTACGTGCAGTCTGCTCCATACATAGAAGGAGTAAACCAATCTGAAAGTTACTGATGACACTAAGGAGAGTAGCTTTATTCCAGATAGCAAACAGGTACACACTGGTGACACAAAACTACAAATTGAAAAGACACGAGACTTCTTAGACAGAGTCTCACAAGATAAGACTACGCAGTAGCTCAGAACACCCGAGCTTTATTCAGACATACTTGACTTCAAACTAAGAGACTTCCTTACTTGTACTACCTAAGGTACTCCCCCTAAGACAAGCATCCCACGACTCATCCCACTACCTAAGGTACTCCCCCTAAGGCAGGCATCCCAAGACTTCTTCAAAACGGATAGTCAGGAGAGGACACATAGTCTGAGATATCAGACCTAGCCTCAACTGCTCCTTCTTCTTCTGGTCCCTCCTCAGCTCCTTCTTCTTCTTCGAGGATTCCATCTACCAGATCAGCAAGACTCAGACCTTCTTCAGGAACATTTGCAGGAACGGTTAGGTCAACAGTTACTCCCCCTGAAGCATTGACCCGAGGACGACGTCGTCCGACAAGAGCATGGACCTTACGAAGAACAAACTGAGCCCTAAGAGTATCAATGAGATTGACCCGAGCAACCTTGAAACGTAGATCAAGACCCAAGGAACGCATAAGCAGAGTGATTTGAGGTGCAAAGGGCAGATCATCATTGTAATAATCATCACAATACTGCAACATCTGTCCCATCATAAGATGAGGATAGCTTATGCGACGATTTTCTTTGGCACTGGCCAGTATCCACATGTCTAAGGGATATATGCGAGTGAGACCATGGGACCGAGGAGGAAAGAATCGAGTAATGTAGAAGTGCAGCACCTTCAGATCATCAGGCAGACGCCTAGCATCAAACCTGGTGGGATGGTAAGCCCCTATGTCCCTCGCATAAAGATGCATAGCTTCATTCTCATTGAAATCAACTGAAGCAAAGTCAGCTTCATCAACAACTTCAGCTCCTTGGATAGGATACCCAAGCAGATAGGATAGCAGATCAACAGAGATGGTGAGCAGATAATTGTAGACTGTAGTCGTGAAGGTGGGAGGATCGGAGTTGAAGCAGGGCCTCATGTTCGCATAAAACATGCGAACAGCTTCAGGACGATAACCATAGCATTGATCAAGAGGAAGGTCAGCCCACCCAACAGCACTGATCAAACAAGGAATATTCATGTCATACTTGTTGAACCGAACAGGGTTCAAGGACACAGAAGGACACAGGGTACGGTCCTGAAACTTGAGGAGATATCGATTGTAATCTTCAGGGCTATTGAACCCTTTCCCGGTGAAGATTGCGGCTTGAGCAAGGTTCAAAGGCATCTGAGGGTTGTGACCAGCCATGATGGGAAAGATTGTTTAGAGATTTTGACAGAACCTATCACTAAGACGAGTGATTCAGCTTCTGAAGGGAGCGAGGCTTTTATAACCCTAAAAGACTAGGGTTGAAGGCTAAAGGAGGTGAAAACCTAGATCAGGAAAGGAAGGACTTTTCTAATTACAGCAAGTGAAACCTGCAGTAATTAGACGAGAATAAACTCAGAGTAATCAGGAAAGACTTGCCCCTAAAGAATAGCTAATGACCTACACAGAATTGCTCAGAAGGAGGAAGAATCTGGAATTTCCTGAATGTCTTGGAGAGAAAAAATCCCCAATTCACGCCGGATGGTAAGAAAGGATTCTGATCCTAATGGTTTAGTGAATATGTCAGCCCATTGATAGGAGGTAGGGACAAATTCAAGATGAATTTTTCCATCTTGAACCAGATCTCTAATGAAATGGAAGCGAATCTCAATGTGTTTAGTTTTAGAGTGCTGCACCGGATTTTTTGACATGTTTATTGCACTAGTATTATCACACAACACAGGGAGAGACTCAAACTCTAAGCCATAATCACTCAATTGATATTTCATCCATAAGAGTTGAGTGCAACAGCTCCCAGCAGCTATGTACTCGGCTTCAGCCGTGGACAAAGCTACTGAGTTTTGTTTCTTGCTGAACCAGGCAACTAGAGATGTTCCCATAAAATGACAAGTACCAGAGGTACTTTTTCTATCAACTATGCATCCAGCATAGTCTGAGTCTGAGTAACCAACTAACTCGAGACTAGATTCACTAGAGTACCATAAACCAAAAGAGGATGTCCCTGCTAGATAACGAAAAATTCGTTTTACAGCTGACAGATGACTCTCCTTAGGAGCACTCTGGAACCTAGCACACACACAGACACTGTATAGAATATCAGGTCTGCTCGAAGTGACATATAACAGTGACCCTATTAAGCCTCTGTACATTTTCTCGTTCACAGCCTTACCTGACTCATCTTTGTTAATTTTCAGGGAGGAGGCCATTGGAGTGATGGCTGATTTCAAATTTCCCAAATTAAATCGTTTAAGCATATTCAGAATGTACTTAGTCTGACAAATGAAAATCCCTTTAGGTGTTTGAGAGATTTGCAATCCTAAGAAAAATGTCAACTCACCCATTAGACTCATTTCAAAGTTGGTTTTCATTAATTCTTCAAAAGCAAGACACATGTCTTTACTGGTTCCACCAAAGATAATGTCATCTACATATACTTGAACCAAAAGTAAGTGTTCAGACTCTCGTTTAGTAAAGAGTGTTTTATCAACTGCTCCTCTCTGAAAACCATTAACTAAGAGAAGTGAGCTTAATTTATCATACCAAGCTCTAGGTGCCTGTTTTAATCCATAAAGTGCCTTTTTAAGTTTATACACATGATTAGGGTAGAGATGATCTTCAAAACCAGGTGGTTGAGACACATATACTTCTTCCTTCAAATCCCCATTCAAAAAAGCACTTTTGACATCCATTTGATACAATTTAAATTTGTTAGAACTAGCAAATGCACACAACATTCTAACTACTTCTAATCGAGCCACAGGAGCAAAAGTTTCATCAAAGTCAATCCCTTCTTCCTGACTATACCCTTGGGCAACTAACCTAGCTCGATTTCTGGTTATGATTCCTACTTCATCAGTTTTATTCTTATAAATCCATTTAGTCCCTATGATGACTCTATTTTCAGGTTTTGGGACAAGTTCCCAAACATTTGCTCTTTCAAACTGATGCATTTCATCAAACATAGCAGCAGTCCAAAATTCATCAAGCAAAGCTTCCTCAACATTTCTAGGTTCAATTTGAGAAACAAAAGCTACATGTGAAGAGTGAGCTTTTGATCTAGTAACCATACCTTTGTCCATTGATCCGATTACCTGAGTAGGAGGATGTCTTTTAGAGATATACGCTGGGGGATGAAGCTCATTTGAACCTGGATTTACATCATTTTCTGGTACAGACTCCTTAGGTTCCTGATTTACATCAGCTTCGGATTGTTGACTCTGATGTATCCTTTCTCGATCATTTTCTCTATCAGCCTGCTTGGTCTGGCCATCTTGTAACACAACTTGCCTCCCAAGACCAAAGTCGTCATCATCCATCTCATCTGAAACCTCAATGACAGTCTCATCAAATAACACATTAATGGACTCCTCAACCTTGAGGGTCCGTTTATTAAAAACTCTATAGGCTTTGGTGGAGCTTGAATACCCTAGAAACACTGCCTCATCTGACTTAGCATCGAATTTCCCTAAGTTATCTTTAGAATTTAGCACAAAGCATTTGCATCCAAAGGTTCGAAAATAACTTAGATTTGGTTTCCTTCCCTTCCAAATTTCATAGGGAGTTTTATTAAGACCAGTTCTAATCAATGCTCTGTTGATGACATAACATGCAGTGTTAATGGCTTCAGCCCAAAAATATTTAGGAACTCCATAATCATGCAACATAGTACGAGCAATGTCAATTAGAGTCCTATTTTTCCTCTCCACCACCCCATTTTGCTGAGGGGTTCTAGGAGCTGAGAAATTATGAAAAATCCCTAGCTCATTACAGTAATCTTCAAATGGATCAGAAGAGAATTCTCCCCCACGATCACTTCGAATACTGTAAACTTTCGACCCAGTTTCATTTTCAATTCTTTTGACCAGATTTTTAAACAACTCAAAGGCTTCATCCTTTTTACTCAGGAACAAAACCCAAGTAAATCTGGAGAAATCATCCACTACCACAAAAGCATAGGATTTTCCTCCATAACTAGTCACATTAGTGGGTCCAAATAGGTCTAGGTGTAGCAATTCCAGAGGTCTAACAGTAGAGATAGTATTCTTGCTCTTAAAACTAGACCTGGTTTGCTTTCCCCTTGCACAAGCATCACAAAAGAAATTTCTTTTCTCATTTAGGTTAGGCAGTCCTTTGACCAAATTCAATCTAGCTAGTTTGGACAGGGTCCTGACATTTACATGACCTAAACGTCTATGCCAATCTTCTTGCAAATTTTTATCAAGACTCATCAAACATGTTTCATTGAAGCTATCCTTATCATTTAGGTCAATTGTGTATATCTTACCATTACGTTTTCCAGTAAACAGAATTTGATTAGTTAACATGTTCTCAACATGACAAAAGGTAGGTTCAAACACAACTCTGCAATCTTTCCCACACATTTGACTAATTGACATTAAATTGTGTTTCAGTCCATTTACTAACATGACATTATTAATAGAAGGACAGACCCCAACCTGACCTTTTCCAATAACATTAGCAGAGTTATTATCACCAAAATATACTTTACCAAAGTTACCTAACTTAAGTTTAGAGAAGAGATACTTGTTACCCGTCATATGATGTGAGCACCCACTGTCCATGATCCAGGTGGATGTCTCCATGCTCACTTGAAGACATCTCTGCAAACACACAATTTTACGTTGTTTTTCTAACCCAGACCAGCTTGGGTTTTTGTTTTGAATGATCACTCCAGTAATACAGATTTCTGTTTACTACAGTGCTTTTTTTAGTTTCTGACCACACTCTTCTTTTACAATTTCTAATAAGATGACCTTTCTTATGACAATAGAAGCATTCTAGATTTAAACCATTCTGTTTACCAGTTCTAGTGTGGTTAATTCCCCCATGTTGGATTGTAAGTCTATGAATCTGGTTTTTTAGTTCTAAGTTTTCTTTCTGAAGACTTCCATTTTCTTTTTGAGTAAGAACTAGCAACCTGGAGTTTTCTAATTCATTAGCTTCAAAATCAGCCAACTGATTTTCCAGAACAAGAATTTTCGAGAGATTCAGTTCATTTTCTTTCTTCAAATTATGATATTTAACCTTGACATTATCAAATTCTGACTGAATTTCTCTAATGGTTTGATTTAACATTTCATCTTCACTGTCATAATTTGTATCAGACAATTCATCAAGTTTAGAGTTACTTACCTGAGATAACATGTCTGCAGAAACAGTTTCACTTTCTTCTTCAGCTGCTTCTGCAATGGCCATATACGACCTATGTACAGTCACTTCATCATCATCATCTCCTTCATCTTCACTCCCACTCCAAGTAGCAGTGAATGCTTTGTCCTTTTTGAGTAAGGGACACTCCGCTTTAATATGACCAGTTCTCCCACATTTGAAGCACCCAGTTGTGTTAATCCCTCTGAGGCTTTGTGTATTTTCATTTCTTCCTTTAATAAGTGACCTCGACTGTCCCAACTTCGTAACTCCTTCAGTTCTGTCTGATTCTTTGGACTTCAATCCACCCATCCTCTTCTCTTTCCTAATCTTGATCAGTCGACTAATCTGCTTGCTAAGCAGAGCTAGTTCCTCATCCTCCATATCATCCAGTTCTTCTGATTCTTCAACAGAACTGATTGCCTTGAAGGCAATTCCTCTTTTTCCTTTTTCAGTTGACTCCTTTTCTGATCCAACCTTCATCAACTTGTCTTCATGTGTGGTCAGGGATCCAATCAATTCATCAATTGCTAGCTTCTCCAAGTCTTTGGCTTCCTCAATAGCTGTAACCTTGGGAGTCCATTTTTCTGGTAAGCACCACAATATTTTCCTTACTAAATCTCCACTCTCGTAGGTTTTGCCAAGATTTTCCAGACTGTTTACTATGTTAGTAAACCTCTCGTACATCTGTCGAATAGTTTCCCCTTCCTCCATCTTAAACTGCTCGAATTGGTGCTTGAGCGAATTTATCCTGGAGGTCTTGACTTGGGAAGTACCTTCATAAGTCACTTGGAGCTTATCCCATATCTCTTTAGCCGTTTTGCACCCAGCTACCTTGTGGTATTCTTCAGGCCCGAGAGCGCAGTACATCAGATTGGTGGCTTTGCAATTTTGTTGAAATTTCTCGTAGTCTTCATCATTCCACTTTTCTTGATCTGCCTTGAGCTCATAAGGACCTTTGATTACTCTTGCCCACAGCTTGGGATCTGTCGACCCCACGAACAATTCCATCCGGTTTTTTCAGTAGCCGTAATTTACCCCTTCGAACCTCGGTGGTCGATTTTGAGAGAACCCATCGGCCAGATAGAGTGGAGCTGCACTTGAAGATCCTGACGCCATCCTGGATTTCGCCTAAGGCTGTAAAACCTTCCTTGACCGGCGACCAGGCTCTGATACCACGTGTTGGCGTCGAGCGCGAGATGCCTACGCGGCAGATTGTCTTCGTTCTTTCTTAACCTGAAACCCTAACTCAATCTTTTGGTAGAACAGGTGAAGAACGAAAGGAAGATAATAGAAACCAGAAACCAAATTGGACAAGCTCAATCTTTCGTCAATTAGTAGAACAGTGAACTACGATGGGCCTGAACCTCAAGCCCACTCAGTTTCTTACTCTATTGATCCTTGATTGACAAAGTGATGCGTTTTGTTTAAGGGTTGAACCGTGGTTGACTCGTCCGTGTAAATCGTTCCCGTGTACCTGGAACTCTTCTCAATTCTGCAGAAAACAAGAACTGTAAATCCTCAAACAGAAAATTGCAGAATCGAAGAACACAGAACCTTTTACGTGGTTTCCAGTATTGGGTTAAGGAAGTTCCCAATACTGACTACTCCACGGACGGATAATCCCGTTTTGTGATTTCCGACAATTCACTAGGATTTTGTTTTTAGCTCCGAAACAGAGAAGTCGAGATCACTCTTCCTATCCAGGTAGACTGATCGTATTCTAATTCACACACTCTCAAGCTATCCAGCTTCCCTCAAGTACACCCACTCTCCAGTACTGCACTCGAGCTCTTTTCTTATCAATCACACCTTAACAAACTCCTTTGTTCTCTGGTGAAATTGATCTCCAGAAAAGTGCCCGATCCTTACAATTCCCTTCTCTCTTATACTCAATCCGCCAGTAGCCGTTGCACCAGAGTTTCCATTTCTTGTTGATCTTGATATGGTATTCCTTTTGAAAAGCTTCCTAGTTTTGCTTGCCGAATATCATCTCCACTTTTATCTCGCATAATCAGCTCTTGTTCTTTTGACAAGCTGCCCTCAACACATTCTTCCACAGCAGTCGTGTCCGGGAGTGCTCAACAGAATGGCTTGGTGGAACGGAAGCATCGCCATGTTTTGGAGCTTACTAGAGCGCTACTAATTCATTCTCAGGTACCGTCGGGCTTTTGGGTCGAGGCAGTGCATACAGTTGTTTATTTAATAAACAGACAAATTACCTCAACCCTCCAACAACAAAGTCCATATCAGGCTCTCTATTCTCGGCTACCTAATTATGAATGGTTGCGCGTTTTTGGATGCATTTGTTATGTTCTAGTGCCGCGTCGTGAGCGAACTAAGCTTATTGCTAAGGCTGTCAAATGTGTGTTCCTGTGATATAGTGAGAAGCACAAGGGCTATGTTTGCTACGATGAAGCTAAGAAAAGGATCCGGATATCATGTCATGTGAAGTTCCTAGAGCATCTATCTTACATTGACTCCTCAAGTGATTCTCGTGCAGCGTCTGACTTGAAGTTCTTGGCGGATCGATGGCCTCTTGATGTTGAACAGTCTACTGATGCTCTAGCGGATTCAAGTGATGATGGGAATGGTAGCTCATCGTCGACCTCCAGCACTTCCAACCCGTCGTCCTCCGGCTCTCTGCGGTCTTCGTCATCCGCCTCCGGATCATCTAACTCATCGCCCCATAACTCGAGTTCTCCAAGCACAACGACGTCATCTGGATCCACCATATCCCCTGTTCCATTTAATCTTGAAGAAAATAATGGGTAGCAGGTACTGCATCGTAGGACGCGCATCACCCGAGGTCAGCCGCCCATACAATACTCGGACTTTCTAGCCTTTGCTACTCCTACCATTTCTGTTCTTGCTACGTACAAACAAGCACGCGGAATTGAGTGTTGGGAAAAAGCAATGGATATTGAGAAAGATGCTCTAGACGCCATGCATACGTGGGATTTGGTCAAAAGAACACCGGACATGTCCGTTATTGGTTGCAAATGGGTTTATAATATCAAGATGCTTCCCAAAGGAATAGTGGAAAGACATAAAGCAAGTGTAGTTGCGCAGGGGTTTCGGCAAGATTATGGGATAGATTATGCGGAGACATTTGCACATGTGGCTAAGATGCAGACAGTACGGAGTCTTTTGGCTGTTGCTGCTATGAAGAAATGGCTGTTACTTCAGTTGGATGTTAAGAATGCCTTCTTGCATGGCGACTTGAAAGAGACTATTTATATGGAGAGGCCACCTGGTTATACACGAGGTGACAGCTCAATGGTTTGCCGTCTGCGTCGTTCTCTATACGGCCTGAAGCAAGCTCCAAGGGCGTGGTTTGAGAAGTTTCATGCCACAATCTTACAGGCAGGTCTTGTGCAGAGTGAGAATGATCCGTCACTCTTTCTCCGGTCTACTAGTAGTGGTCTGACAGTCTTGCTGATATATGTGGATGATATGGTGGTGAGTGGGGATGATAGTGTCGGTATTGATGATCTATTACTTAATCTGCGATCTGCATTCAATCTCAAAGAGCTTGGGGATATCTCTTACTTCTTGGGTTTAGAGATTCATCGTTCTCCTGCAGGTATACATGTTGGTCAAAGGAAGTATATAGTTGATTTACTGGAAGAAGCCCAAATGGATGAATGCACAGCATGTAACACACCTATGGAACAGAATCTCAAGCTGCGGCAACTAGAGGGGGAGTTGTTGCAGGATGGTTCCTTATATCGGAGCATTGTGGGGAGTCTGATATACTTAACTCATACTCGCTCTGACATATCATATGCAGTACAGATCGTTAGTCAATTTATGTCTGCTCCACGCACACCTCACTGGCTAGTTGTTCAACGTATCTTGCGGTATTTGCGTGGGACACAGGAGGTTGGCCTGCTGTTTCCTGTAGACGGAGATGCTACTCTCGAGGCAAACTCGGATGCAGACTACGCAGGCTGTTAGGATACTCGAAGATCTACCTCTGGTTGGTGTGTGAAAATTGGTCGTTCCTTCATATCATGGAGATGTAAGAAGCAGGATCGGGTTTCAAAGTCTTCTACAGAGGCAGAGTATCGATCCATGAGTTAAGTGGCTTCAGAGATTGACTGGCTGAGGAGACTGTTGGCAAAATTGGGTGTTCAGTGCCCTTCTCCGATTCGCCTACATGTTGACAATACGAGTGCAATTCGTATTGCAACAAATCTGGTGTTACATGACAGAACCAAACATATTGAAGTGCATATTCATTATGTTCGTCAGTTGGTCACTGAAGGGATAGTCGAGCTTACCTGCATCAGTTCTGAAGATCAACCGGCTGACCTATTGACAAAAGCAGTGTCTACTACACGTCATTGGTTTCTAGCACACAAATTGATGTTACGTCAGCATCATCAATTTGAGGGAATCATCAATTTGAGGGAGGGTGTTAGAAGTATAGGTACTATTTTGTATTTTGTACATATTAATGATGTGAGTAGGAGCTAGGGTTCTCGGTTGGCCTAGTATATATACTTGTGTAGATGGTCGACCTCTGTAACGATTACCGGAATAAGATACAATCTCTACCTTGTGCCGTGGACTAGTCTTGATGATCATCGTCAAGGAAACCACGTAAATCCCGCGTCTCTCGATCTCTTGTATTTGTGTTTGTGTTTATTATCAGGTCCATGTAGCCCTACTTCAATTGCTTAAGTTGTCATCTAGCAAAACAGTTTTGGGTTTAAAAATAAGAAAACTATAAATTAAACAAGCAAGGAAAGTAAATGGAGGAGAATTCTACTTGAGAGGACTTCACCTGGGTATTGCTCCCCCTAGTGTCATGCTAAGAAGCGACAAACAAAGCTCTAGTGTGAAGGAAGTGTTCATACACCGCAAGGTGGGCGCAACTAGCTAGGAACAAACTACCTTAGTCGATCAATGGAGGAAAATCAACAACTATAAGTTAGGGGAACTAGCTCTCTTAACCGTTAGGTCAAGGATTGTGATTCACAAATTAGCTTTTCAAAAAGGAAGCCATTCTTATAATTCCAATTATTATATAATTCATCAGAAGAGAATTTTTCTGTTTTGAACAGAGACATTTTTTTTTCTAGCATTTCCAAAAAAGTTGATAAACTAGGTGATCCGCGGCTTGTCCGCCTGTTTTGACTTTATTTTGCTCGCTCCGGGACATTTCTTCTATAAGTTGGTGGATTTTATCCATAGCTAGGGAACCTAGCCCTCCTTACCGATCAACCAATGAGATCCCTAACTCTCTTAGTTAGCTAATTGAGAATCGTTGCAACAAGTTAGAAAACTAATTCTCTTAACCTTTCGGCTAAGGGTGACAACGATAGCTAGGCTAGGAAACCTAACCCTCTCAACTATCCGACTAAGGATTGCAACCCAAACCCTCGGAACTTAATCCGGTCGGCGGAGAGACCAATCCGGGTGGAATCACGGCCCTACTCCGACACTTGAGATTTTGGTCTTAAATCAACCTAAAGGAGGTTACCCAAGTGGCTAAGAAGTCTAGCTTCCTATTGGACCAAAAGGGGATTTCCACCCTCTAGGTCAATTTTACCCGATATTTGAGTTAAAGCTAGCACACTCAATCATTCATGAATAATACCTCAAATATCATATAAAACACTCAATCAACACAACAAGTTCATGTTCTTGCATCCTAACACATAAAGAGACTAGGATTCACAATACCCAAGTGAGTAGGCAGGCTATTCCATAGCTAAGCAAGAGAAAACAACAAAAGGGGAAGAAAGAACCATGAAGTGATGCCAATCTTTCCTCCTTGTTGCTTGAGACACCCTTGAGATGAAGAAATCTTCAATCCTTTAGCCAGGAACAAGCCCAAAGCTCCTTCTTCCTCCTTTGATGTGAACTTTCTCACTCTAGAAGAAACCCTAACCTCTCCCTAGAATCCTCTTTATTCTGAAAATGAAAACCTAACCTAAAAATGAAGCTCTCCCTTCTTCTTCTTTTCAACTCTCCATTTATACTAAGATCGCTCCCATTTCACGGCCTTCCAATTCACGGCCGTGAACACCTAAACGCGTCCGTGAATTCAGTGTCGTGGAAAAAAACGCACCGTTTCACTTCCCGGGGTTCACGGTTTGTGCTCAAAGTTCACGGTTTGTGGTTCCAGTTCACGGTACTGGCGACCATGAACTCGCAGCTCTGACCGTGAACTGCGGCTGGTTCCTGGACGCCTGCGCTTCACTATCACATGTGGACTTTTCTTCGATTATTGCGCTTGTTTGGACCTCCAATCGTCCCGAAACTCGTCCTCGACCATTCCACACGTGCTAGGACCTGAAATGTATCAAAACAAGCACAAGCTAGCGTGAAATATGTTGAGGAACGATGAAATGCAAAGTCAAACTATCAAGAAATGAGGGGTAAAATGTGTAAAATTGGACCCGAATTAGTCTAATATATTGAAGGATAGATTCTTGCATTGGTAGAAATTTTATTAAGAAAAGTAAAAAGATAAAAAAAATTGCAATTAAATATTAAGATAGTTCGTGATAGAATGGGCAACAATGGAGTGAGCCTATAAGCTACATAGCAAAATGGGTGCACCTATATCTCTCGTACCAAACAAGTAATGGTAAGTTGGATCAGAAGAGTCAAATCAAAATTGTTAGCTGAAAATCATAATTACCTAGCGAAAAAAGAATTTGATCTAATGCTACTATCATTAGTACGAGACCTTTCAAATTTTTTAACTAATACCTAATAATTAGTAAAGAAAAACTTATGTTATCCTTATAACAAAATCATAATTATGTCATTTCTTGGTACTGGATGCTGGGCTTAAAGCCTGATACAATAACCATGGTATGTCCCTGCCTAGGTCCAAGGTTCGTCTACTATAACCCGTCATCGGACGGTTTCTCTCAGGCTTCTCAATTCCTCTCTCGAGCCCATATTGCACGGACGGTCTCGATCGCGAGCACGTTGCGGCCGCTGGAAATGCGCGGGTCACCTGTTCGACGTAATTCCTGAGCGAGAAATAAGCATCCAAGAACCCGGCGGTCGGCGAAAAAAGAGAGCAATTCAGGATCTGCAACACGATCGCGGGGCTAGCAATCGATATGTGGAAGCGGGTCTCTTCGCTTTCTCCATTTCTCTTTTCCTCCAAATCGACCTTCGCTCGCCCGGGTACCTCTCGTCTCCACCTGCTTTCTTGCCAGTCACCGTCTTTGTCTTGAGCAATTCGTTCTGTTGTCATGTTCCTTCTTTCCTTCATTCTCCTCCCTTAATTTGAAATTTTAGGCAGGTCATGGATGGAGCGCATGTGGATCACCTGCTATTGACTTGCCCTTTTCGGTATCAATCCTTTCTTCTTGCTCTGCTTCTCGATTTCATTATCCGGAACCACGAGTGGAATTTGAATCGGGCATTCTAGTTTTCATCCGAACACTCAGTGGGCATTTTGCTGATCGGCTCAATAGCTTTGTTTCTGCTTGATTTTGTGAAACTTGCGTTTGCGTACTTCCCTAATTGGATGCCATTTGCGAGCAGGTAAACTATGCAAGCTCCCTCAGAGATAAAACCCCTTTCATCACTTTCGTCTTAGGTAACTTCCACATCCATTTCTCTTTCCTTTGCCTTTCTAATGCTGGCGATATGCTGCATTTGTCATTCTAATGATAGCTGTTTATCGGAACTTTTGCTCGAATTGGAACGGTGTTATAGACGAATCATATGTATGCTGAGGAGCTTTTGCCACAAAAAGTACACTTCATAGCACTGGATACTTCTTTTTTCCCCATGAAAAGCTATATTTTTGCTGCTTGGATTGCTTTGCTTGATGATAGGGCGTTTCCCACTTGATTGCAAGGTGGCCCCGGTAGTGGCAAAGGTACTCAATGTGAAAAGATTGCCGAGACATTTGGGTTCACCCACCTAAGTGCTGGAGATTTGTTAAGGAAGGAAATGAATTCCAACAGTGAAGAACGGTAATACTGCCATTTTTCGAGTTCCAGTGTTTAGAAACTAGGGATCCTCGAATTCTTGTCTCTGTTCTGATAATTGGTGAATCATGTTTTCAGAACTACCATCCTCAACATAATCCAAGATGGCAAGATTGTCCCTTCAGCTGTGACTGTCAAACTGATTATGAAAGCCATGGAATCTAGTGATAGCGATAAGTTCTTGATTGATGGTTTCCCACGTACTGAGGAGAACCGAATCGCATTTGAACAAATTGTAAGTTCCTTCTATCAACTCTTTATGGGAAATGAACGATTGCGAGGGGAATGACTCTGAGGTTTAATTGAATGCTAGTGACAACTGCAAATTAACAATGTTTTTTTTTTACCTGGTACCCATGCAGATTGGGCTAGAACCAAAAGCCGTGCTCTTTTTCGATTGTCCAGAAGAAGAGATGGTGCAAAGAGTGTTAAACCGTAACCAGGTGCGTGCTTGTAGTCACTAGCTCAATATCCAATACTATCCAGTTCATGCTGGAGAAAGCCATTAGTGTAAAAAAAAACCCCCATTTTCTCAATTGCAGGGGCGAGTTGATGACAACATAGATACAATCAAGAAGCGTCTTAAAGTGTTCGAAACATTGAGTCTTCCTGTTATTGACTACTACTCCAAGAAAGGGAAACTGCACAAGGTATATTACTCGTACGTCGCACACTACTTAATCTGAGATGCTTTAAGTTGAGCCACAGTTTCTTAATGTTTTAGATGTGGTTCACATCACATAGATAAACGCCGTAGGAGATGCAGATGAGATTTTCGAACAAGTTCGTGCTGTTTTTGAAGCGCCAGAGGTAGTCTCCGTTCTTCTGTTGCACTCCTTCATCTGTTAGTATCAGATTTTTTGAGTTGTTTTTTCTTGTTCTATGATCTGTGCAGGTGACTATTTGATTGTTTACCCTTATTGTTGACTGGTTCATCTTTTGGGGGGCTGGAATGCAAGTGGATAAACCCAAACCACACAATCTAGTGGGCAGTGCCAAAGATTGGCGAGGGACAAAATTTGAAGGCTGGCTTGGCTGATGGTATCCTACATATTTCTAGCCTATGTACAGAAACAAGGGCCAGTGCCCTTTCTTTACAACTCTCTCGCTTGCCTTTCCGTCCCCCGAGTGTATAACAACGTTGCACGAGGTGCTAACACTTGGACCAAATTGTTTCACAATAGAACCCCAAATTGTTGGTTGGGGCATTTTCTCGAACACTTTCAGCTCATAATGGTGAAAACAAGATTATAGTTTGGTTCTTTCCTGCTCTCCGATTAGAGAGAAAGTCTTTCTGTTTTCCTTTCATGCTCTGCCTACTTCGAGGAAGTCGACGGAGATGGTGGTGCTCGTTCAACCGACGCCGAATCTCTCCCCGCCATCGATGGTCCTTCACTACGCGTCCAGCACAAGGAAGAGCAGGAAATTAAAGCTTACTCGGAAACTAGAGAAGCAAAACCAGCAAGGCAACAGCGGTATGGCACTCAGCTTCCCGAAATCATCGCCGACTCCAATCCTCATCGGACGCAATCCGTTTCCCCGGACTCCCCTTGAAGCTTTGGATAAAGTTGTCGACGAAATCGAAGCCTCTGTCCAAAAGGGGATTAATATGGACGCGGAAACCTTCGCTTCGATTTTAGAGACATGTTACCGGCTCGATTCAATCGAACATGGGATCAGGATTCATCGGCTTCTACCCTCGGCCCTTCTGCACAAGAACTTCGGAGTCGCCGCCAAATTGTTGCGGCTGTATGCCGCGAGTGGGTATTTGGACGAGGCGCACCAGGTGTTCGATCAAATGTCTAGCAGAAAAGACTCTGCTTTTGCCTGGAACTCGCTGATTGCTGGGTATGCGGAATTGGGTCAGTATGAAGATGCCATGGCGCTCTACTTTCAGATGGAGGAAGATGGCGTGAAACCAGACCGATTCACTTTCCCCCGTGTCCTGAAAGCTTGCGCCGGAATCGGTGTGATTCAAGTTGGGCAGGCAGTGCACAGAGACCTGGTTCGGTGGGGATTCGGCGATGACGGGTTCGTTCTGAATGCACTGGTGGATATGTACGCGAAGTGCGGCGACATTGAGAAAGCTCGGAGCATATTCGACAAGATTGGTCACAAGGATTCCATTTCATGGAACTCCATGCTCACTGCCTACATTCGTCACGGCTTAATAGCAGAGGCATTGCGCATTTTCAGCAGGATGATTCACGAAGGCGTTGAACTCGACTCGGTCACCGTATCAACAATCCTCGCCAACGCAGCTCCTTTACATCTCAAACATGAAATCCATGGATGGATCATCAAGCGAGGAATGCAATGGGAATTATCCATCGTCAATTCCTTGATCGTCGTATATGCAAGCAGTGGTTATCTAACCGATGCACGCTGGCTGTTCGACAATATGCCCGAGAGAGATCTCGTATCGTGGAACTCCATCATCTCAGCTCACTGCAAGCACCCAGAATCGCTGGCATACTTCACAGAGATGGAGATGGATAATGTCATGCCGGACAAGGTCACGTTCGTGGCGACCCTATCGGCCTGTGCTCATATGGGTCTGGTGGAGGAAGGGGAGAGGCTGTTTTCTCTAATGGTGGAGAAGTATGCGATGAAACCCATCATGGAGCATTACGCCTGTATGGTGAACCTCTACGGCAGGGCTGGATTGATCGATACAGCATACGACTTCGTCATAGAGACGATGGAGCTGGAAGCTGGGCCGACTGTGTGGGGGGCTCTGTTGCATGCTTGTTGTGTGCACAGGAATGTGGAGGTCGGAGAGGTTGCCGCTCAGTGCCTGTTCGAGCTGGAACCTGATAACGAGCACAACTTCGAACTTATGGCTAAGATCTACAGCGATGGTGGTCGAGTGGAGGATGCGGAGAGAGTGAGACGAATGATGGTGGATAGAGGGCTGTAAAAATGCCTGAGTGTGTATATGGCAAGTTAGGCTTATGTTTTACTGTGGCCATTTATTCACAGCAAATCCACTTCTGCTTCGTCCGTCCCACAAGAATTCTAGTTCCATTTTGAGGTCAAAAAGAATGCACAGTTTATTGCTTCGTAGTTGATAGTGTGATCATATACTTGGATACATACATCAAAGTTGGGAACAGAGAACTGATGACTGCTGGTTTGACAAACTCAAAGTGATGAACCCCGACACTTCCTAGCTCATTTCTGACAAGTGGATAAGAAGGGTCTGGTTGGCCATAATTTCCGGGCAACTTTGGTGATAGTTGGTGCTAGATGATGGGTCATGGGTCATACTTTGGTACTGGCTGTTAGGTGCTGGCTCTGCTCTGTTCTTTGGTTGGGCCTTTCAATGCGTGGAATTCAATGGCAGAGGGTCCAAATCCAAACCTAATTTTATTTTTTTTTACAATAATTCCAACTTTTATTCCACAATCGAAAGGACAAACGAGAAAACTCCGGTTACATTCTTAAAGAAGATCAGAAATTAGATCAAGAATACTAATCCAGTCAACAGGTAGAGTAGATCTAGCTTTAGAGCGTGCTACCCAATCGGCTTTGACATTCAACGCTCTCGGGACCTGATTGACTTTAATGAACGGGTTATTCCTAAGGATGTTGATCATCGAGCCAATCCAGGCCGCACACCGCCATGGCCATCCCGAATAATCTTTTTCCAGAGCTTTCACCAGATCCTGACAGTCAGAAAACACCGTGCATTCCGTTCCATATTCTTGTGCTAATTTAATACCTTCCAAGAGGGCCTTCGTTTCCGCTTCAATCGGGGTGGAACAAAGAAGGGTCTCAGCTCGTCCATCACTCACTTGTCCATGGTGGTTAGAAAACACAACACCATATGCCGCCGGCTGGGAGTCGCTAATGAATGACCCATCACAGTGAATCATCAAAAGGGTGATTACTTGGCGGGGGATTCGTAGAGGTATGGGCTCCCCTGAGCTGAGTAGTAGAGGCATCGTTCGAAGATGGGGGCCTCGGGCAAGAACTCCATTCATTGCGTTCTCTATAAGCTTGCATACAAACATTAGGCGGCCATGGAGCTCTATTCTTGAAAGTACACTCATTCCTAGCCTTCCAGATATTCCAGCAAAGGAACACTATATGGATCAAGACTTCTTGTGAAATAGCATCCTTGATGTCCCAAATTCAATCCAAGAAAGTGGCATTCTGGGGCGGGAGAGGAAGAGAAGGGAAGATAGAGCTCCAAGCTTCACTTGCATGCGGGCAGTAGAAAAGACAGTGCAAGAGGGACTCATTTGGGTTGTTGCAAACTTGACAAATCGGGTTAGGGGCACATCTCCTGTGATATAACCTTGCTTTCGTTGCCAACCCATTTTTTGAACACCTCCAGATGAAGAATTTGAGCTTGGGTGGGAGGTTCAGTGCCCACATCCATTTCCATTTGTCAGTGCTTCCCATCGGTTGGAAGTTTGTATTTTCTTTGTGAAAAGCGTGGTAAGCCGTCTTAACCGAGAACATTCCTTCTTTTGACAGACTCCACGCCCAGAAATCTTCGGCTCCTTCCTCCCCGATCGGTATCCTCAGAATCGCATCCAATTCTTCCTGAGACACATGCCCCTGAATAGTGTTTGCGTCCCAACTTCTATTCTCTGGATTAATCCAGTCCTTGACCTTCATTTGTTGTTGGGGTCCGCTTCGGATGATGAAGTTTTTAATCTTTGGAATCCAAGGGTCCTGGTTCACCCAAGTCTCCTCTCCTGAGCTAACGACCTTAATTGCTCCTAAATTCAGCACTTTTTTTGCCTCCCATAGACTCGCCCAAATCCAGGAGGATCGACTCCCCTTTTGCGCTCATGAAATCTCCTCTAGGGAAATAGAGGCCCTTAAGGAGGCGGCTCCAGAGTGAGTTAGAAGACTTGAGAAGTCGCCAAGCTTGTTTCGCCAGAAGGGCCATGTTGAAATCTTTGAACCCTCGGAAACCCAGTCCACCTTCACTTTTCATAGCACAGAGTACCTCCTTTCGACACCAGTGCAAACTGCTTTTCTGCATTGACCCTGACCAGAAAAAGTTGGTAAGGAGAGCATCCATCTTCTTGGTAAGGGACACCGGGAGGTGGAAAAGATACATGATGTACGAGGGGATAGCTTGAATCACGGCTTTGAGCAGAATTTCTTTTCCCCCATGGGAGAGCAGGAGACTTTTCCAAGCTTCCCCCATCTTCTCCATTCGTTGGATAAGGAAGCTAAAGGTCTCCTTCTTCGAATTGCCCCACTCAGTCGGCACCCCCAGATATTTTGAGTGACAATTCGTTGTGGCAAAACCCAGATGCGCAATGATAGATGTTTTCTCCTCATTAGGGACATTTGCACTGAAGAAGATTGTAGATTTGTTGATATTCACTTCTTGTCACGTGATTGCCCCATAGTCGTTGATGAGATCCTGGATTTTCCCAGCTTCTTGGATGTTGGCCTTCCCAAAAATAACTGTATCATCTGCGAACAGGCAGTGGGTGATAGTAGGGCATCTTGGATTCAATCTAATCCCCTTTAATTGGTCCTGTGTGATAGCCTTATCGATCAAAAAGGTGAGAGCATTGGACATAAGTATGAACAGAAACGGGGAGAGCGGATCTCCCTGTCTGATGCCTCGTGAAGGGGAGAACGTCTCCGTTTCTTCTCCATTGAAAAGGATCGAGAATCTAACAGATCGGATGCAAGCACTGACCCATCTCCGCCATCTCTCATCAAAACCGTACTTTTCCAGAAGAGCCTCTAAGCAGTCCCAATCCACCATATCGTACGCCTTTTTCATATCCAACTTAAGCATCATATCCCTTCTCCTCCCCCTCTTGTGGTTCTTGAAGTGATGCAGAGCCTCGTCCACGATAATGATGTTATCTTGGATTAGCCTCCCTCCCGTGAAAGCCGTCTGTAGCTCCGAGACCAAATCAGGAATCCATTTCTTGAGGCGGGTTGCCATAATCTTGGATATGATTTTATATCAAAAATTACAGCAACTGATAGGGTTGAACTGACTAATCATTTCAGGGTGATCCACCTTTGGGATCATAACAATATGCGTACCATTCCATCCCTCTGGCATGTTGGCAGACTCAAAGAACATCTTGATCTCTCGACAAAGAGTTCCTCCGATAATGCCCCAGAAACGATGATAGAATCGCCCAGAGAAACCATCTGGACCTGGAGATTTCTTTGCTCCTAACGAAAAAACAGCTCTCCTGATCTCCTCATTTGAAACATGGGCACAAAGCTCTCCATTCATCTCGAGAGAGACTTTACTAGGGAAACCATCCAGAAGGTGGTTCCGGGGGAGAGGGTCTCTGGTTCTAAAGAGGTCTTTATAGAAGTCAAGGGAGATACCTTTAAGTCTACTCTCGTCATCAACCCACACACCCCCATCGTCCTTTAACCTAAGGATTCTGTTCTTATGTCTTCTATGAACCGTGCTAGAATGGAAAAAGGAAGTATTTTGGTCACCTTTTTGCAGCCAAGTCACTCTTGAGCACTGATTCCAGTATGCTTCCTCGTCCAACCAAATTTTTGACAATTCCACTGTGATACTTTTCTCTTCCTCCACCCCTTCTTGTGTTCTTGGAGGACGCTGAAGCTGATCAAGGATCTCCCTCTCTCTTTGTGAACTATTTTTGTGGAAATCCTTTGCCCACTCCTTGAGATCATGTTCACACTTAGTAAGTTGGTTCGAAGATTGACCTCCCGGGTCCCAAGCCCTCACCACAATCTCCTTGCATTCTTCTTTTTCCAACCATCTTTCGTCCACTCTAAAGGGGGGTATTCTTTCTCCTATTCCCTCTAAAATGGAGTTCTAATCTGATTGGGCAATGATCCGATTCCACCATTTTTTCATGAAAGACCACAGCTTCTCCGAAAAGAGCTCTCCAAGAAGTAGAGCACAACACTCTGTCCAATCTTACTCTCGTTGTATTATGCCCCGTTCGCTTGTTGGTCCAAGTGAAGGGTTCCCCTTTGAAGCCTAGATCGATCAGAGCGTTATGGAATATGAACCTTTTGAAAGGCTCAACATTCTCATACCTAAGAGGACATCTTCCCTCTTTCTCATTTTCATAGATTGCGGCATTAAAATCCCCTACAATAATCCAGCTATCATCCCTACTACTCCGAAGAGAGCTCAGGTGCTCCCAAAATTCCCTTCTACTGACAGCTGTAGAGGGTGCATGAACAAAGGTACAAAAAAACTTTCTACCCATATCTATACTAACATCCATATAGTAGCTATCACTACTTAACACACTAATACTAATACTCGCTTTCCACCACAATGCAAACCCCCTAGAAGAGTTGATCGGTTCAACATTCTCTCTATTGGGGAAAATTTTGAGACTTCTTCTTTGTTCTTCCATGAAGGCCTCGTTCTTGCTAGTCTCCATAAGAAAAACAATAGAAGGGCCTAAGCGTCGACACATACGCTTTGCATAACTTCTTTTAAGGGGTGGGCCAAATCCCCTACAATTCCAACTTACAATACTCATTCCTGAAGAGGTGGCTTCTGACGAACCACCGCTGCCCTTGCATCCCTTCCTTGCTCCCCATCCGAGTAGTTCTCCCTTGATTTTCTGCTGGAGTGAGGCTTGAACCTTTGATTCTTCTTTTTTTTGTTATCCCCCCAAGCCCTCCCATGAAGACAACATCATTTGGGCCCAAGAGAGCAGCTGCTCCCTCCCCCAACTCACCTCTGGGCCTCTCATTACTAGCTTGGCCCATCCCTTTTCTTTTTTTTAAAATTTCGGCCCATCTCCTCCTCAAAAGCCTGCTGATCATGTTGGTAGATGAGGGTTTCGGTTGGGCCTCCCTCAAGGCATGCCTGGGCAGCTGCTTTCCCTTGCCTCCTCAGCCCAAGTGAAAGCCCTGTCTCCATCTCCTCTTCTTCCTCCTCATCGGCGCCGCCGCCCAACCTCCCTTCCTCTTCTAAACACAGCCCTCCCTCCATCGCCAGAGCTGTTCTTTCCATCTCAATACTGAGATCCCTCCCTCCCATCTCTTCTCTATACCTTCCTCTCTGTCTCCCTTGGTTCCCCTGCTCCTCTTCTCTTCTGATTGTAAACCCAGGGGGGATTTGGGGGTTACCGGCAGATTTTGGCTGCCTTCCCCCTGCGCCAATGCTCTGTCACCTTCCTCCCTCCTCTGATACTCCTCACCCGACGTTGCTCTGTCCCTTCCCCCCATCGAGCTCCGCGATCTCTCCCCTTCTCTACTGTTTCTCGAGTTGCCCATTCTATGGGGAGAGTCAATTCCCGTCTTGAGAAAGGAATTTTAAACCTCCGACAGATGTGCAACGCCATTCCTCCTCCTCTCCTCGTCCATCCTCCAACACGTCGGTCAGTTGTGGCCGATTCGTCCACAGAAGTAACACAGTTCAACTAACCTCTCGTATTTGAAGTCGATCACCTCACAGTAGTCCACCCCTGTTGCTTCATCTGTGAATGGAAAGTCGAATCCTGTCGGAATCGGCTCATTGAGATCAACCTCCACCAGTATCCTAAAAAATCTCCTGTATCCAGAGAATTCCAGGCTTGATCTATCAAGGTCAAGGAAGCTTGCAAAGTAGTGTGTTCCTATGGCCACCATGTTGTTTTCATTCCCTTGATTCTGATGCATTCCATGGATTTGCACCCAAATTGCAAGCTTCTCCATCGGTAGCTCTTCTGGCTTCCCTCTCTCATTGTATTTTTCGATTGTTGTCTGTGTGTTTGATAAGCTCCATGGTCTTTCTCTCCAAATCCTTTCTCTGACTTCAGCATTGCTAAAGGTGAATATGAAGAGGTTTTGGGTGTTAGTTGGTTGGACATTCACCTCTCCATATCCTCCCCAGGCATAGCGGGCAGCTCCTGCAGCTTTTGCCAAAGCTACTCTGTTCTCTGTCAGCATCCTCCCCAGCAGCATAGATATACCTCGGCCCCCTGTTGTAGTCAGATTTGGGCGCCCTCCTCTTCCTCTTGCAGCCGCAGCGATGATTCCACCGACATTCCTCTGCTCAATAAGAGCAATGTTGTTTGTATCCATTATCCCCGCAGATAGGCTTTTTAATTTGGAACGGTTTGTGTTGTTTCCAGGGGAAGCAAGGAGAGCAACTAGACAGTATGTCTTTTTAAGTTTGGGGTCTGTTTTGGGAGCAAACTGTTTTCCTCTTTCTGTTCTCCCCTCTTTATGGGCTTCGCTAGGTAGCTGGGTCTCCCTCCCCTCTTGATGGTGGTTGGTACCCTTCCTTTCCAAGCCTTCATTATTCTTCTGCTGACTGAATTTAATTCTGTTCTGTTTTCTTCTTTCCTTGACAGGGGCTCTTGGCTCAATGGATCTCCTTCTCTGGACACGAATAGTATATTCTTGTTCATAGATCAGCTTTTCGGGCCCTCTTTCTTCTTCTTCCCTTCTATTCTTCTTATTCCGACAGGAGATCCAGAACCACCACCAGTCTGGTGTTTTCCAAACAGTCCCTTTCTTTGTAGCAGTAGCAGGTCATCCCCTGTGCTGTCTATTCTCTTCCCGAATCTTTGTTACTGGAGCATAGCGGTCTCTTTCCCCCTCTAGATTGACACTATACCGAGATAGATCTTTGCAACCAGCTGTGTGATTCTCTTGTACCCTCTCTGTTAGAGTTCTCCTTTCTCTGTTTAGGCTGGTGGATCCTTTATTGCCGTCATCTGGAGGTTTCCAAACCTCCCTCTTCTTTATACCATCTTTGCTTGCTTCTTCTTTTAGTCTAATCAGTGTGGGAATCTTCCCTGCCCCTGGATTTATGGTTCTACTGCCATCTTTATGAGAAATCGATGTGTGGAGAAGAAGATTGATAGGTGAATTGATCACCAGAAAAATCTCTGCAAGAGCTGGAACAGTCCCAGCAAAGGGGACGGAAAAGGAACCATTGTCTGGTTCAGAGAACGTTACCGTTAGAGAGAGTGAGGAGAGAGACATTTTTTGAAGTTGATAATCTCAAACCTAATCTAGTGGATGGGTATGTAAAGAAACAAAATTCGGTTAAGGTAAATTCTCGTTGAACCTTGAGAGGGCGAATTCAAATCCTACATAACGACTTAGGAATATAGGGTACAAAATGATTTTGTTTTGTATTTCAAAGCGATATAATCTGCATGCTATTAGAATTTTATCAATGATGAAATTTACCTTATTGATAGAATTGCATTGGGTTCTGGTAGGGATGGCAATTCCTACCCGTCCTGATGGATATTCCCCAATTCGACCCGTACTAGAACATAGTGAATCTTGATATGACCCATGACTAAACCAGAGCGTATATGGATATCTTTGCCCTTGCCAGCATGGTTGTTAACCCGCGGATGAACCCAGATTGGACCGAATCCGGAGACAAAAATAGGTGAAAATTACCCAGTGGAGTTTTAATCCGGATCAATTCAAAACCACTTAAAACCGGTCAAATACGGAAAAACCGAACGGGTTGACCCACTGAACTCTTCCAAGTCCTTCCTCTGCTGAGCACTATCTTTTGAGTTTCCTTCTTTGGGACTTTGTAGAGTGGGTGAGCATTAACTATTAATTCAAATTATGCAGGTTGGTGGTGTAGGGTAGGGGTGGCTACACGGTAAGGTTCAGTCCGGTTAAATTGGCTCAAATTGATCTAGTTTCGGTCCAATTTTTTTTGAAAATGTAAGGACTAAAGATTGGATCGGATACAATTCGGTCTTGATCCGGTCCGGTCCCAATTCGGGCTTGATTTTAAATTAAACTTGTGGAGATTTGAGTGGCCTAAGGCCTCAAAGGGTGAGGAGTTGGTTAAGTTTTGGGTGTTGGGCTCTCTTATCCGATTTTCGGTCTGGTCCCAAACGATTTTTACCTCAAATCTAAGCTCTAAGATTAGATTGGATTATTTACTATCCGATCCGGTCTCGGTTCGAGTTTTACGGTCAGGTTTTGGGTAAAACCAGAAAGCCCACACCAAATAGCCACCCCTAGTGCAGGGAAGATTAGAAACGGAACTAGGAATTAATGATGGGTGAGGAAAAACATACAAGCAAATGATTACTTTAGTTTTAAAATTCGAATTGGATACTTTTAATCGGAAAATTTATGTTTAATGTTTGAATATTAAAGTTATCTGTTGCCTTTAAATATGTTTAATTTTTATTATAAGATTTAGTACAAATTATTATTGTGGTGTAATGTTGTAGGTATTATCATATTTTAGATGACACTTGATATAATTTATATTATGTTCAATTATATACTAATTAATAATTTTTTTCATATATCAGGGCTAAATCGGGCTAAATTGGGCTAAACCGATCTTACCATTAAGTCATTAACCCTTCACCCACTAGCACAAACGGGTCAATGGATCAAACGGGGTTGACAACCTTGTCGCCAGACATGCTGTTAGAACCCTGGATATCTAGGGCTCGAGAATGGAATAGATAATTAGAATTGGGGATAGCTTTGGGGGAGAAGAATTGGAGGATGGGAAGAATAAAGAAGCAGCGGGTGTGGAAGATAGTTGAGCCGTAGCTCTAGGGAGAGAAGGAGAGAGATAGGTTTAGGGTTTTTGATAATTTTTTGCTTAATGATAAACAATCTCGGCTTACATAATATAAACCTGAAATAGTTACCCTTTTGCTACCCCAAGAAATACTTCTAACCCGAAAGGCCAATAATGCCTAAAACCCCCAAAAGAACACCCACAGTCCCAAACTTAATTAAAACGACAAATAGGGCCAAAATTCTTAATTAACCAAATCTCTAATAAACTCCCAAAATCCCCTAATGTTTCTAACATTCCTCCCCCTTAAGACCAATATTGACCTCAAGATTGGGGCGCATCGTCCTGCTCCGACTTTTTCTCCTCGGCGGCCCACTCCTCAGCCTCGTCCTCCCAGCGCTCAACCAACATCATCATACCCGACTTCACACATTAATGACCGAAGGTAATCCTCTTATTGTAGTTGAAGCATTTCCCCTCTCGCCTCTTCTGGTTGATTTCTGTCGGGGATAGCTTGACGAAACCCTTCGTATTAGCTCGCGATCCTGGCCAAATTGCCCCTGGTGCTGCCGCCACCGGAGTCGCCGCCCCTCCAGCTCCTCCGCCACCACTACTGTCGGAAACTCCTTCACTTCCTCCACCACCTGGATTCTGTTAGCGCCCAACGGTATTCCTCAAGCCGGCCAATTCTTCTTCTTCTTTTGGTCCTGCAAGGCGAAAAGTTGATCTCAAAGAATCCGGTTCAAATACCTTCACCACAACTACGATCTCTGGCCGCAACCCTACCATGCACAACCTCGCTAGAGTCTCTTTCGATACTCATTTTCATGTGTTCTCCAATTTGAGGAACTCTGTGCAATTCTCCACTTACCCGGTCTGTCGCATTTAGCCAATTGCTCGGGAGCCCATCCTTCCGATTTCCCAAACTGGTACCTGAGCTCCTCCTAGAACATCAGCCATGTTATCAAGGTGTGTGCGGCAGCATAAGACCATTGAAGCCACTCCCACCATTGCAGGGCATCACTCTCCAAGTTGAAAGACGCATATGCCCTTCCCCTCCTCCTTGGTGGGATGATTCTTGAACCATCTGTTTGCAGCACACAGCCACAAGCCCGCATCCTCCAGGCCATTGAATTTAGGAAATTCAATGGTCGGCGGTTTGGCTGACTCGTTCTAACTACAACATCCTAATCGACGGCCAAGTATAACTGCCGACCGGGTGTAGCATAGGGCAAGCAAGCAATAAGAATTTATCGTACCACGGGGATCTACGCTTACCCTACTTCAGGTTTAGGGTTCGTTATCTAGCCAACCTAGGATAGTGATTGATAAAATTAAACTAACTAACTAGACTAACCACTAACCTAGCTATTTACAAGGTGGGGAGCTCTCTTGGGTTGAATCGTCCTAGGTCCGTTCTTTGGATCAATGTTGGGTATCCTCCTAGCTCGATCGACTCAACTACACTACCATTTGGAGATGGACTCCCTCGGGAATGACCCGGAATGGTGAATCGATGGATGGGTAGTTCTCTATTCAACCTAGGGTTTCGTATAATGCTATGAGACCGGTCGAATCAACTCCCTCGGGGACTACCCAGACAATATACGATAGGAGTGACCCGAAGATGCCAAAAGGGGGTACTAAGGGGATTATCTCCCTCCTAGTTCAATATCTCAATACATAAAAATGGAAACCAAACTCATGCCATTCATGAAAAATCCATCAATTAAGTAAAATCATCAATCAATCATGGAGTTTGTCACATATATCAATATTAAACCCAAATCTGGACCTAGGGTTCTTAAACCCAAGAGAAGAGGGTGAGTTTCTAGAGAGAGATGAGAGTTTACAAAGAAACCTCAAGATCTTCATATTCTTCTTCTAGGCTTGATTCCTAGCTTCCAAACTTGATCAATGCCATAAATTAAGCTCCAAGACCACTCTCTTTCTCTCTCTCTCTCTCACTAGAACTCCCCTTTGGTGTTTTGGGTTGAAACCCTAGAGAAAGAAAGCGTTCCTCCCCCCAAAAACCAGCTCTCCCTTCTTCTTCCTTTTGCTGTTGTTTTTATACCCAGATCGAGCCCAGTTCACGACCTCTCTTCACAGCCGTGAACACCTTAACACGTCTATGAACTCAGCGTCGTCTCCAAAACACACCGCTTCATTCTCCAGGGTTCACAGTTTGCACTCAAAGTTCACGGTCTTAGAGACCGTGAACTGCCTGGTCGTCAGTAACCTTTGGAATCTCGTTGGACGCCTCGCTGTTCACGATTTGAGGTTCCAGTTCACGATCTTGGGAGACCGTGAAATACAATGCTGGACCGTGAACTGCGGCTGCTTCATTGACGCCTGCGCTTCACTGTTACGGGAATTTGGTCGTTTTTTCACTTTTTGGCACTTTTCAACCTCCAATCGACCCGAAACTCATCCTCGGCCTTCCCACACGTGCTAGGACCTGAAATGTATCAAAACAAGCACAACCTAGCGTGAAATATGTCAAGGGACGATGAAATGCAAAGTCAAACTATCAAGATATGAGGGGTAAAATGTGTACAATTGGACCCGAATCATTGGGTCTAAACACCAAGTCATCATACCCATCATAATCCGAATAGGGCTCACCATACCTGCCTCCACCATAGCCTCCCTCGCGACCTTGGTAACTCCTACGGTAACCTCGGCCCTCTCCTGGTGACGGCATCAATGCCCAGTCCCCATAATCTTTAAACTGATCTCCCCTGCCACCTCCTGAGCCCTGTCCAACTTCTCAGCTATACACCCTGCCAGTCTGTCGTCTAGCCCCAGTGTCTGCCCAGCTATGCCTTGTGGTCAGACCGGTTCTGATTCTCAGGTCGGTCTAGATGCCTGTTAAGCCGACCCGCTTCGCGTCCGGTCTGTCTGTGGGCCTCGAAACTCATATCGTCGTCCTCTGAGGCCCACTCACGCCTAGAGGTGTCAATCGGGCGGGTTCGGGCTGGGTTCAATCGGGTTGCGGGTCGATCGGGTTGCGGGTTGGTCGGGTTCGGGTCAATCGGGTTGCGGGTCAATCGGGTTGTGGGTCAATCGGGTTGCGGGCCAATCGGGTTGTGGGTCAATCGGGTTACGGGTCAATCGGGTTACGGGTCAATCGGGTGCGGGTCAATCGGGTTGCGGGTCGGGCGGTTCGGATTGCGGGTTTCACGATACTGGTATTTCGTGGTTGAACCACCGGTACGGTACGATTTAATGTACCATGGTCCATGGAAATTGGCATAATGAACAAAACAAACATTAATAACCAACACTTCACCTCCACGTAAGCCAAACAGGCAAAGGCCCTGATGGTGGTCATGAAATTTTAGAATTGGCGCCTTCACCCGGGAAATGAAAAGAGTTTGGCGCCTGATGGTGGATTGGTGGTCAAGAAATTTTATAGAATTGGCAAAAGCGTTTGGCGCCTGATGGTGGATTGGTGGTCATGAAATTTTATAGAATTGGCAAAGGCCCGGGAAACGAAAAACCATTTGGCGGGTTATCAAAATGAAACAGTTTTCTTAATTTCTATTTTCTAGCTATTGGTGAGGGTATTATCTTCTCGTTCTATGATTTTATTTTAGATGGGATCTCGTTCTATGATTCACATGTAATAATAATGAGGAAAATATGGATCTCGTTCTAGATGGGAAGAGAAGGCTAAAAT